TTCATTACCTATTAAAATGAGAATTACATTTTCTCAGAGAAAAGTGGAATTTCTTGAAGATTTTGGTTCAGATGTTAATAAGTAAGATTTTAATTCTATATTATCTGTTTGAATAGTAAATGAGCATTGATAATTCTGGTTGGGAATTTGATGATTAGTGCAAATAAACATATTAAATTTAAAATGTGTGCATGTTACTTTTTCCTCAGGTATATTTGGGGTAGATTCCATTTTGCAAATGTGTATGTGCTTAATAGCAGAACTTAGGACTTTTATTTCGTTCCAAATTGTTTTCAAAATTTTAGCATGAGAATTTAAAAAATGAGTGGATGAGAGAAGGCAGGAAGCAGCAGTCCCATGAAAAAGGAAATGGGTCAAGGATTGCGCCCTGAAAAACAGAAACTTCTAGTATATAGACCACTAAAAGTACATCGATGGGGTTAATATGGAAAAAGGAATGCCATTATATTGCAGATTGGAAAAGAGGATGGAAATGGTTCTACAGGTGATGTCTAGTGGCGTCACCTTTGTGCATTGTAAAAGACTGAAAGTTGAGGGAGGTAGAAGGGTTCACTCTGTGGGATTTGGGAAAAGGACAAATTTAAGATTTATATTTTCAAAATAGAAGAGTAGAAATTTATTAGAGCTGTGATTCCATTCTTACCCGATTTTAGTTAAGGAAATACCCCAGTTCCTGTTAGGCATGTGCCTTCTCTAATTATTCTAATTTAGAGAGATATCCATGGAAACAGTTGTTGATAAAATAAGAATTACTTTTGTGTCTTTCTTTACATGTGTGTATACATTGGCAATGGCTGGGTAAAATTTTCACTTTTTTTATTAGTTATTACAGTTGTCCCCATTTTTTTCCCTTTTTGCTCACTTCCACCCAACCCTCACCTGCCCCACAAATCTCCATACTGTTGTTCGTGTTCCCCCTGGAAGCCATCACCATACTGTTATTCGGGTCCATGGGTCATGCGTGTATGTTACTTGGCTAATTTCTTCACCTTCTTTCTTCCAGCCTGCGTAAAATTTTAATTAAAAAATTTAATGTGTTACATTTTAATACAAGGGGTGTGTGTGTGTGTGTGTGTATGTGCTTTTTTTATTTTTCAATACTTTTTATTTTTAGAGAGGGGAAGGGAGGGAGAAAGAGAGGGAGAGAAACATTAATGTGTGGTTGCCTCTTACGTGCTCCCGACTGGGGACCTGGCCTGCAACCCAGGCATGTGCCCTGACTGGGAATTGAACCCGTGACCCTTTGGTTTGCAGGCCAGCACTCAATCCACTGAGCCACACTAGCCAGGGCCTATGTGTTTGGTTTAATTCAGTGTTTTGTAAGAATTGTCTAATGTAAGGTACATAACAGTCTTAGGAGGGCCATAAGTAGTTATTCTTTTAATGGGTGACGAGATTTAAAGAGAGATTATACATTTTTTCCAAAATTCTTTAGCTATTACATAGTGCAGTTGGGTTTAGAACTAACTTCCCACTGTGCTTGTAACCACCTGATTCCTGTATATTTAGTGTCTTCTGTTTGTTTTGCACTGAAGAAAGTATGTAAAAGAAATGGAATTTGTAATCCTAGCTTTAAGTCTAGTTGGATGCTGTGGTGATCACAGAAATATGTAAGTATGTGAAGTAGCATATAACTTAAGATTCAGGATCAGAGTGTATTTGTCATCCTTCATAGGGGAGGTGGGGATTCACTTAGTTAGGTACTAGATTCTGATAAGCTAAGAAGGGGATAAAATGTAGAAGCAAGTTAAAGTTTATATAAAAGGAACATTTTGATTGGAGGGTTTTTGAAGTTTGGAAGTGATGTTGATTGTGCTGTGCTTTGAAAGCTAGTCTGAGTTCAGAGAACATGCAGTACGCAGTTGACAGTAGGAAGCTAGTAGAGTTTTGATTGAGATTAAATGACATTTTAATTTGGCAATAATATGCAGACAAAGCAGAGGCACAGTACAAAAAAATGCCAATTAGGCCCTTGCAAATACAATTAAGGTGGGTCTTTAATATCAGACAGTATGTTTAAATTTATAAAAAGGAATGATATGAAAAATAAGCCACTTAAAAATTTAGGTAGCAATATAATGAATTGATAAGAATTAATGTTCATGTCAGACAAATATAGGCTTAAATCCTAGCCCTGTCACTTACTGATTTGTATATTCTGCAGTTTTCAAAATTTCTCACATGGAGATTGAATCTCTCTTATATAACCTAAAGTTGTTAAAGGCCTTAAGGACATTAGTCCATTTAAAGTGCTTGATAATGAGTAAACATTTAACCTGAGATTACTGGTATTAGCAATTTTATAGCCCCTTGAAGATTTAGGGACCAATGTTATTTGAAAATATTATTAAATGTGTATAAATGCAAGAGGCCCAGGGAAGTTGTGTAAGCATGTAAAATATCAAGGCCATTTCTACAGAGATGTTAATTATCTGTGTTCAGGTTTATGATTACTTAAAAAAAAACAAGGCCATCTTATAAAAAGTAAAAAAATAATTTCAATAAAAAGGCCATTTTTTCACTTTATTAAAAAATATTTCAGAAAATTGTAAAACAGAATCATTAGGATTTTAAAGTCACAGTTTGGCATCAAGTGACATTGTTTATGAAGTTCTAAGTTCCATATAAATTACATATGTCATATCAGAACTTTATTAAAACTTATCTTTTTAATCAATGAGAACCAACTGTGTTGCAGTTTTATATTCTGTTTATCACATGGCCAAGTTTTAAATATACTTTATCCTACCTGGTGGCAGGTGTCTTCAATAACATTGTTAAATTAGATTCAAAAGTATACACATTGTAAAACTGTCGGGTCTCTGTTGCACTGGACAAAAACATCAAGATCCTTGTCTTAGTTGTATCATAGATTCTAAGGTTCTTCTCATGTATTAGAAATGACAAACACAGGTAGCTCTTGGCCAGCGTCCCATCAGCTTTAGCTAACTGTAGTACAGAAAACAGCCACTTTTCTAGTAGTTCATCAAAAATTCTGGGACTCCTGTCTTGGGTCATGTTCTCACCTCTAAATCAGTCATTGTTCAAGGGTATAATGTAATTAGCCAGGCCTTTATCTTTGAACCGCATAGAATGAGAAGGAAAGTACACGGCAGCACCGTTTCCTGAAGGAAATAAAAAAGGTATCTGGAGACAGGTTTGCCTGCTGGCTTAAAAGAAAAAAAAAAAAAAAAGAAACGATGTTCTTTTGTTTTTCTAAGTAGAAATAGCTTAAAAACTTGGAAAATTTAACATTTTGGTTTTTGTGTATCCCAATGGGTTTTTTTTTTTTTTTTAATTCCTTCTCAGGCTTCTGAATGCTTATGATGAACATCAGACACTCCTAAAAGAACAGGATTCTTTAAAAAGGAAAGCAGAAAATGGGTATGTACATCTTATTGAATTCGGAAGGGATGCTTAAAAGAAGACATTTCATTGTGGAAATGCCTTTAAAGCCAAATATTTTTAAATGTTACCTTTATGTTGTGATAGTTTACTTTTCCATGATTTGAAAAATTTGTATACAGCTGAGTAGTTGAGAATGTCAGTAAAACAAATGTACATAAGTGACATTTATGTTTGTTAAAGTGCTTATCTGCAGTTTTTAAGTTTCCATTTTACCTTTTATTTAGGTCAGAAGAACCAGAGGAAAAGAAAGCACACACAGAAGACACAACTTCATCATCTACACAGATGATTGATGGTGATTTACAGGCAAATCAAGCTGCATATAATTATAGTGCCTGGTATCAAGTGAGTTCACATAATAAATGAGTTTTTTGTTCACAGTTATTAGAAAAGCATGAATTAGAATAGTCTTTTTTTAAGAAAAAAACAACTCTTCCTGTTTCAGGTTTTATGATACATTATTATTTTGTGGGTTAAGTCTTAGAATTTCAGCAGTGAACACATGCCTTGTTTTCTTACACAAACCTGCTTTAATTATTTTTTACAAACTCAGCCATAGTTCTAGCATGTTAATAACATGTTTGCTTTTTCCTTTCAGTACAATTACCAGAATCCTTGGAATTATGGACAGTATTATCCTCCCCCTCCAACTTGATGGGAAAATACAAATTACCAGATGGAATGTGTGAAAAGTATGAAATTATTTTTTTTTAATGAGGGATGTAAACATAGCATAAGCTTGTCATATTTGATAACTTGTCTTCCCTGTTTCTGTGTAATATGATTTATTTAGTAATAGGGGAAAATGTCAGTAGCTAACCACAGATACTATTTCCTACCATTTATAAAGTTTACTTTTTATTGGAGAACTATTTTTTGATTTTTGCATTAAGTGGTCTAGAATTCTTTTGCAGTGCATTTGCAACAGAGTTTTGTAGCCTTAAAGGTAGGAAAAAAACTGACTGCAAATCACGTCAGTGTAGTAAAAAAATTCTGAAACTACGTTAAGGGCTGGTTATTAAGGATTTAGGTCCTCTTTAAAAAACAAAAGAAACAACCCCCCCCACCACCACCACCAAAAACTGAATTTTTAATCTTTCCTGACCAGGTTTTATCTGCGTGTTTCAGTTACCCTTGTGAATTTTGATCTAACTGCAGAAAAGTTACACTATTAAAATACTCTGTCTTGGAATAGAGGTTACAAATCAGAAAATGGAATGTTTGCATCCCTTTAAGAAAAGTGAAAATCCTATTAAAATTGTTTCAGGAGACTTTGTATGTACAATATTCATGTAAACTTGTGAGCAAGCTTTCATTTTGATCAAACTGATCATCTTCATTTTTGTAATAAAACTGAAGACTCATCCACTAATTGTTATGAATTTATTTGGGGGAATCACCTAGGTAGTATTAACCATTGTTAGTGGTTTATTGGTTTTGAAATATGCTTTTCTTCAATTCAGCTATTATCTTCTTGCCGGAATTTCTTACTTCTATCTTTTTGATTCCTCTCAACCTTTGTGCTTTTGCATTCTAACTATACAGAAATATTTGAAGATTTTAATATGAGTGTCCCTGGAAAAGCCGTCTAGACTGTTACTTCCTGTTTGATGAAATCTTAGTCCTGCTTAACCTAATCAGAACATTAACGTTATTAACAGCAAACATATCAAGATATGGGCATATTTTTATTGAGCCTTTTACTTACAAGATGAGGTAAAAGGAAAATGAGTTCTCCTTAACCAATACTTTACACAAGCTGTAGTAAAATATTTTAAACTTCAGGGATTTATAATGGATTACATTTCTTAAAAGTTTGGGGAGACAGTAAACAAGTTCTAACACAACTCCTTGAATTTTCCGGATGACTCTTCACTTACAATAGTAACCAGCTGTAATTTAGTTTCATGAGTTTCTTCAAGGCCATTGCTGAGGGCTTTAGATCTGAAGCATTGCTATTTCAATCAATATCCACTAATTCCACTTCAAAAATGAGTTTTGCATTTGGTGGAATTCTGTTGAAGTTGTCAAGGTAAATTTGATAAAAATTGCTCCTCTTCTCACTTCCAATAACTTGTGTCTAAAATTAGAGTTATGTAGATATTGGCAATTAATTCCAAAAAATAGGGCATTATAGCTGATTCAGAGGTGAATACATACCAACCTAGTGGTTCCAAACAGATATCTTTGTGAATGGAAATTACAGGCTGACCAGGTGTAGCTTGGACTAGGATCTTTCTTACCTGGATGCCTAACTGCTATACCTAAATTAGCCAACACATAATGAAGACTGTTAGAACTCACAAAATAAAAATAAATAAATAAATAAATCTAGCTGGGTATATGTTAAATCAAAATTTCTATCAGGTAGTACCTGATATTTGTTGTGAATTTTAAGATGCTGAGTTTAGAGAGGAGTGTGACTTCTGTCTGACTGATCTTAAGATGCATTACATCAGAGAGGGAGCTGCAGTTGGCCATCTTACTTTGATAGGCTAAAAAGAGATGATATTTACAAATAATTTTAATTGGTAAGAGTAGAAAGGACTTCCAAAAAATTATTTCTTTTTTTAACTTACTCTTAACTGGTTCAACTAGTTCAATGGGAATGGAAACAACAATAGCTACATGGTAACAAAAGACTACTGTGCCACGTAGCTATTGGATTGTTCTTTTTGGAATGATGTAGAGTCATCTTTTTCTTTTTTGATGTTCATGAACTGGGTCTATCAGGAAAAAAGTTACTGTCACTAGTACTAATCATAAGTGTTTACAGTACCTTGAATCTTGATCGCCTTCATTTCACAACTGGTAATTCCTAACTGATAATTCCCATTTATAATTTCTTAAAATTATACTGTAGCAAAAAATTACCGTGAGCCATATCTGCATCCTATTGTCAATTTGCTAGTCTGTATTGGGCATCCCTTTAACTCCTTCAAGTAAACCCTTCAAACGTTAACAAACCATTCAAAGAGGAAAACAAACCAACAGTTTTAAGTTTTGAAAATTAAGAGCATGGATAAGAGGAAAAACAGGTAGATTCCAGCTTGTATGAATACTTTGTACCAATAGAAAATATTAACTATTGTCTGTGTTGGAGGTGTTGACACAAAAGCATCTAAATGTCAGAAATCTGAACAGGATTCCTGACGTGGAGGTTAACCTAGACAACATCTTTCATACCTTCAGATGATCTTTCTTAGTGTTTTTTTTTCTTTAATTACAAAGGGGAGAAAAAAAAGGATACTTGGCATCAGGCTGTCCTTTCTTTCCATAAGCCCATTCTGGTTCAATCTCCAGTCGAGCCTTTTCTCCTTTACTCATAGTCAAGAGTGCTTCATCCCACTAAAAGCAACAATATAAAGTTAGAAATAATGATTCTCAAAAATACATGCAAAATCAGAAGACAGGCAAGATTCTATACCCCCTCCCCCAAAATTATTACTTGATTTCATTATGTCCTAAGATAATGTCCTTGGATGAGTCCTCAAATCATTGTCCTTTACTTCCTCAATGAAAAAAGGATATCTCAATAATTTTTTTGGTGTAATGCCTCAAATGATATAATGTGAAAGCACTTTTGTAAACTAACATGTGGAAACATTATGGAAACTAGTTTATTGGCACCTTCATAATATTTTTGCTATACTTTTGTATCATAGGGAAAACTTATAAATTCATTTTTATAGGGAAAAACTAACAAGCACTCATTGTAAAACTATCTTAAGATTACCAAATTGTAATAGTGGTGTCATGTTGGTTCCTAAAACAGACTACCTGCTAGAGCATTAATATATTTTGCAGAAGATAAAACCAGTCAAAAGAAATGATAGAGGTTTCTGGGTTGCCACTACATTTTGTCCAACTTTGGATCTTTATACCATTTACCTTAATAAACACAATGAAAGGATATAGAATATATGACTAATACACATTCTGTTGGAATTTAACAGTCACATAAATTTCAAAGGATAATTTGGCACAAACTGGAAATTAGGAATATGGTTAACTAGAAGAAATACACAAGTAAGCAAACTTAGTTATAATAGAAATAGAAAAATAGCTCAACTGGACAAGTAGTTGCTATCAACTTAGTATAATCAAGCAGTGGTAAGGTTATTTTGAATTAAACCTTAAGTTTCAAATTGTATTTTGGGCTCTGGATATGACTAAACCATAATTTCAGTCTTAGTACAAAGTGTAACATACCAAGGATTCTCATAACTGCATTTAAATATGTTTCGGTTATTAATGTTTGATGCTGTGAGTAAAGACAATTCAAAATATTAAGTGGGCCTAGCATGACAACCTGATTCAGTGAAGGTGATAATCGGCTCTATCATTTTACCTCTTGTACACTACAGTGGTCTGGTATAGCTGAAGCCTAACTTCCCTTAATTTCCTTCTGTTATCTCTCATACATAAAGGCTGGTAAAGGCATACTTAGTTTTGAAAGATTTTCTGGTGTTTGAGCCTGGATAGTACGAGATGAGGGCTACAGAACAAACTCTTCCTTTTATTAGTACTTTGGCGGAACAGGTATTTTACCTTTTTTGATCATGTTGTAAGTGGTACAAGAGCCAAATAAGAATTTTTTTTTCCTTTAAGGGAGAAGGGAGGGGGAGAAAGGAGAGAGAGGGAGAAACATTGATCAGCTGCCTCCTGTACGGCACTGACCGGGGATAGAACCTGCAACCTTTTATTGTACAGGCTGAAGCTCCAACCAGCTGAGCCATCTGGCCAAGGCACATCTTACAAGAACCTTAAAGACATTAAAAAAGCCAAACATTCTAAGAAGTACTTTATGAACAAAAATAATAAAAGGGGTAGGTGGGAAGGAAATGTTTGAATCTCTGCTATATTACATGGTTTAACTGTTGTTTATTTAGTCTTTGAACTACCCTGAGTAGTTCAAATACTATGTATTTATAGATGGGGAAACTGAGACACAGATCTTATTAACTTGAGCCAGAACAGTTAGTGATGATAACACTAATTTGTCATACTCCAAAAGCTGTTTCATGATATCCCCAATCTTAATTCTTTATGGCACCATGCCACAAGTAGCATGTGCCAGAAGCTCTAATGATACACTGCCATTTTATACTTACTCCTCTGATAACTTTGCCTATTCCAACCTTAAAACTTAAAGGCTTGGCATTTTTCTTCTTCTTTGAACCTGTAAAACAGATTTTATAACTAATGATGAAATTCCAATGGGAAAATATAGGGATTAAGTCTTTTAACTTGATTTCAGAAAGATCACACTACACATTAAAAATTCAGGAAGCTAGATAATTTATTAAGAAAATTCTGAATGCAAAAAGGGTCTAAATGGGAGACGGGAAGGACCTATATTTACACCACTAAACTAGTACAGTATCCTGCCTTTTACATTAACAAACTATAAAGTCTCACTTTGGGCATTTAACCAAGTTTAGACTACTATGTTTTGCTTTTCAATGGCCAAGAGGTCTTTATTTACCCAGCCAATAAAAGAGTGAACTGAAGACCTCTTTCAAGTAAATCGCAGATGCAAAAGACTTCTGGAAAAAACTCAGCCAAGAGGATAGTACTGCCAACCATCCATCTACAAATACAGGGCCTGGCCAAAATAACGCCTACTTGAGTGTGGTTGGTAGGGTAATAATATGGGTGTAATAATTTATTGTTTTCAAACATTTCACCTAAAATGTCATATGGTGTGCCTGAGTGTGATATTATGTTCCAGATTTACATGCTTATGATTTTGTAATAAAAAAGGGGGGTTATTTGTTCCAGACCTTGTATTTTATAAAGCCTTGAATCCAAAGAGATAAGATTACATTTCCACTTACTTGTTTGAATGTTGGTATCAAAAACAGTTCCATCCTGTAGTGTTCCTGTATACCAGCAGTGAACAACATCTCCCTTTTTGGGGAAGTTAGTTTTATCCCCTTTTTTAAGAACAGATTTTGTATATTTTGGTGGACCCTAAAAACAAAAAGAACACATACATAGAGTTATTAACTCAGGTCCTTTTTTTAGAAGGGCGACAAAGAGAATACTTAATATAGCCACGTGACTTAACTCTGGTCCCAGAGTTTCATAGATTTGGTAATAAACTATTTTGCCTCTAGTTCTCTGCTGAGTTAAAGTCACTATTCCATTTCAAGTCTGTAATGAGAATATTAGTAACTAGGATATTTACATATATTTATGAGCAGAAATGGCTTTATTGGAAGGAAATGGGGACTTGGGGGACAGACTGAGGCTGGAGGAGCAGAGGAGCAGAAGGATAAGAACAGGAAGCATCACAGATGCATTTTTTTACTGTATTTTTCCCCCAGTACCATTTATCCCCCTTATACTCTCTTCCACCTCTACCTGCCCCCTCCTCCCATAACCACCACACTGTTGTTCCTGTCTTTGAGTACTTTTGTTTTGCTCCATCCCTCCATCCCACAGAGCTGTCAGACTGCTCTCTCAGTCAAGATATTTCTAATTTAATTTTTAAAAACTTCTAGCTTCTTTGGAAACCAATGTTCTTTTCAGAAGATACTGTTAATTATTCAACAAACTATAAATATAAAATGAATTCAGTTATTTCCCAAGGTGAGAAATATTTACTATTCCTATAAAATCATAAGGCATTAAATAAAGCATTATGACATTTTCTTGATTTGAATGGTTTTAGCACCAATAATTGACATTACCAAATATTTTTATTGTGTCTAATTGAAATGAATACAACAATGTGCATTTGTTTCTGAACTTGAAGTTCACACAATAAATGGGATTACTTATAGACAGTACCATAACTAGAATATTTCCTAGAAGCAGGATAATATACAGACATTTAATAGTATAAAACATTTAGTAATGCGAAGGAAATACAAGATATTAAACATCTATTGTTTATCAGTCACTTAGAACAACATTCCACTTAATCCTTAAAATCCTCTGAAGAAGGTACCACTTGCATTTTTGCAGATGAGGACACCTACATACAGGGAATTTATGCAGCAGAGCTAACAAGTAGTAGAGAATGAATACAGATTTGGTTTTGTCTGAATCCAAAGGCCCTGTGCTTTCCACTAGACACTATACCAAAATACTGTAAGTAACAGTGATAATGATAATTAACCTCTATTGATGTTAACAGTTAAAATAGTTAACATCTATTGAATACCACCCTTATTTGCCAGGCACTATTCCAAATGCCTTATATAAATTAACTTTGCGATCACTTTATATTTATTTTTTTCTGTTTTTTAATTACAGTTTATATTCAATATTATATTAGTTTCAGGTGTACACCAAAGTATATAGACTACCATAAACTTCACAGAGTGATATCCCTGATATTTCAGGTACCCACCTGGCACCACACAATTATTACAGTATTATTGACTATATTTCCTGTGCCATATTTTACATCCCTGTGACTAATTTGTAATAAATTGACTTTCAATTTTCACTTCCACAAGAGGCAGCTACTGTTATCCCTATTTTGTGGATAAGGAGACAAGGACAGAATGGTTAAATAACTTGCAAGGTCCTATAGGTCCTAGGTGGCTGAGCAGGACTGGAAACCAAGCAGCTTGGCCATAAAGCCCATGCTCTTAACCATTTAAACTACAAGTCACTTTCTTATGTCAATTCAATTTCACAGCAGTCTGACCATCTTTCCCCTATCTTTCATGTAAAGAGTAAGGCTTGGATAGGGTAAAAAACCCTGTCCACTTCAGAGTAAGATTAGCACTTTGAAATAAAGCTAGCCTGCCACCCCAAATCAAGTCAGTCACATCCTATAGCTTGAGTACAATGTGCATTATAAAACTAAACTTTAACTTCCTCCTTGACACTCCCACTGCAAGCCTGTTTTATGGTACTAAAAATGGTCAGGTGTCTACTGGTAGCAGTGTTATAGGCTGCAATTCTTTTGGAATGCAATTTAAAGATGTTCAGAGTGTTATAAATATGCTCAAGAAGTAATACGAAACTTAGGAAAAAATATTTATGTAGCTATCCAGTACAGTGCTATACATAATAGTAAAATAACCACACATTTTATGGTAATACTTTTTTTTAATAATATTGGAAAATTCTTACATTATGTGAAAAATCAATAGTTCTAACTATAGTAAAATCATAACTTTAAAGATATGCATAATTATTAAAGAAAAGATTCTGAATTAAATATATTCATTTCTAGGTTTTAAATTATGTAATCTATCATTCTGTTTTGTATTTAAAAATAGCATGTTATTTTTGTATCAGAAAAAGTTTAAAAAACACAATAACTTGACAAAAATCTAGTAACCTAAGCCCCAAATTGGAAAATTATTTTAATTAAAAAATTTAAAAGCTACAAAATAAGAGTGACTACATATATTCCACTGTTTCCCTATTTGTTGTTCCAAGCGGGATGGGCATGTTGTATTATCTACATTGAGGTCCTAGAATAACAACTCAAACACACATTAAATTGGTGGTTATGGTTCAATCTTAATGGTGAAGGTGCCAGTTTGCACACTGATAGCCTGCATTTCAGTGTATCACAAAGTGTCTTTTATGGATCACTCATTCCTTGGCATTGCCACTGTTAGAAGAAAAGGAATCTAATGTAATCAGGTTTGGAAAACACAATGTCAAAGTTAACTGCAAGGATCTGGTTGGCTCATGTTGAGAAGTTACATTAGCCCTGGCTGATGTGGCTCAGTGGCCGGAGTGCCAGCCTGCTAACCAAAGAGTTGCGGTTTAATTCCCAGTCAGGGCACATGCCTGGGTTGCAGGCCAGGTCCCCAGTAGGGGGTGCACGAGAGGCAACCACACATTGATGATTCTCTCCCCTTTTCTCCCTCCCTTCCCCTCTAAAAGGAAAAAAAATTAAAAACAAAACACCTGTTAATTCTTTAAAAAAACAAAGTCACATCAGTTCCAAGGCTGTCCTTCCTGGGGAGTTATATGCTTGAACCCAGCTCTTAGGTAGTTTCTTGGCCTTGCAGCAATTTCATAGTCCAAAGTGATAAAAAGAGCTATATTCTCAAGATTGGGTCTGACCTAGGTAGGTAATTCTAGACCCAGAGATAAAGAGATATTGAGTGTAATCATTCAATTGCAATTAAATGGATCACATCATAGCCAATGAAAATGAGACTATATTACATAATTTTTATTCAAGAAATATTTGAGCATGTTCTGTGTTAGATACTAGATAAATGTAGGTAAGTTTGCAGGCATGGTCTTGGCCCTCACTCTATCAGAGAATATAGACAAACATAGTTACATGTATTATGAGAACTGTAGAGGAAGCACAGGATGCTATGGTAGGAATGAGACAGTGACTTAACCCAGTAGAGGTCAGAGGCTGGTAGAAATTACATTGAAGTAATATTTGAACTGAATCATAAAAGACAAGAGAGGATTATTCAGATGATAGAGGGAAGGTTTACAATAGAGAACAGCATTTTCATAGCAGGGAGGAGCAAGAAAATAGTATAGTCTGCAAGGAAGGAATGGAGAGAATGGTATGAAACGAGGATGGAAAGATAAGCCAATGCCTGTTAATCTGGGTTTTCATCCTCAGGTCACTGAGCAGCCAATTAAAGAGCTTCCAAGATGCCCTGGCTGGGTGCCTCAGTGGGAGTGTCATCCTGTACACAAAAGGGTTGCAGGTTTGATTCCCAGTCAGGGTACATACTTAGTATACCTAGTTGAGGGTTTGATCTGTGATCAGGGTGTGCAAGGGAGGAAACAGATCTATGGGTCCCCCTGCCCAAATCAGTAAACATATTCTTGGGTGAGGATTTTTTTTTTTTAAAAAAAGAAACCTTCCAAGAAATAAGTTACAGAATTGGACTTGTGTTTTAAACAGATCACTGTGATCCAGTGTGAGGAATAGATAAGGAATCAAAGATGGAAGTGGGGAAAAGGTATTTGGTAGTCTAAGTCTACACTGGGGTGCTGAAAGTGAGGATAACAAAAGATGAATGGGTTTGAGATACATGTATAGAGAATCAACAGAATTTGGTGATGATTAAACGTGAGAGTTCAAAAGGATGACACTCAAGTTTTTTGCCTGAGTACTTTCACAGTCATTTCTGTCGTGTGTGAGTTCCTACCCCGGCTTATATGGGGTGGGCAAAAGTTGTTTGTTTTTTGTGAGTACATGAAACAAAGTTTATTCCCGTGCTATTATTTTATTAGAGCATGAACCTACTTTTGCCCACCTTTGCGCACTCTCTCTTGTCCAGTATTCATTCATATTAACAAACTTTCCTCAACAATTATTAATAGTTTATGTATGCAGTGTGATGGGGAATTGAGTGAGGGATACTGAAAAATTTGCCAAGTAGCAGTGAAACTAGAAAACATGCTTGGATGATGTTGAATATGACCTTATACCACCCCATTAAACATTCTTATCATTATTTTTCCACACAGTGTGCAGTCCCAAAGCATGAACAGGGAGCAGATAGCAGGAATCAGCAAAGTACTGGCCAAAAGGCTATGCACTCCAGGTGTTAGGAAGATGATGAGAGCATATAATTGGGCTCAGGCTGGCCAGTTAAATGAAATGAAATGAAATGAAATGAAATGAAAGAAGTCTTAAAGAAAAGGGTATAGTTTAGGACCCTCACAAGATCTCTTTAGGTTGTCTCCAGCCCTTACAGCCTTTTACTTTTATTTGTAACTTTTTTGTTAACCTTTTAATGATATACATACTGTCTGCTGCCTCATACCTTCCTTAGTCTCATTTTCTGGAAGATAAACTATGTGGTCAATTGCTTTTGCAACCCTTTTAGTAACTATTATACCTCTACTTACCTTATTAGCTACTCAGTATTTGTCTAGTATAACATTTATCAAATAATATTGTGATAAACTTCAAAATTGTTTTGTGTGTGCATATTCATAAACATTAATGTTTGCTTTTCAATCAATAGGAAAAGATTATGCAAATTAACTAGCTTTAGTCATAAAACATTTATACTTCTATACCTGATCTTATTCTCTTTCCATTAATACCCAAATGCTACCCCTTATCAACACGCTACATCTCTTTACAACCACTACTACTACTATTATTATATCATCATCACTGTTACTAAGACTACTGGGAATGAGTAAGCTTAGTTTAGATATTATCAGAAGTGTCAAGATTGTAATCAGCTGAGCTCTACTAGGCTGTTCTAAGAGCTGTCCTTAGCTCCACAAAGGCTATCCATTTGCAGAAATGATTTTATCTGGTTCTTTAAACCTGTGTACCAAAATATAAAACCTGGGTTGGGGAAGATGAGAAGATGAACTCACACCCTGCAGCCTGGACTATTTCTATTGCCAAGGACAACACGTACATTCAGAAAAGCTAAAAATCAAAATGAAGTTTTTTTCACTGAGTCCAACTTGGCTATAGAATCAGGACCTTAAAATAGCTTTGACAGCTCAGAAGTTCTGGTGAGACACAGAGGCAATATAAAATACAAAGCTAGAGTTAACTCCCAAAAGGCTTCCTGACGTTACAGCACTATTTCTTATGCTTCCCCATTCTCCCTTAGGCCTTTTTTCTGATTCAGTAACACCTAATGGAGATACATTCCAAATCGGCATTTGGCTCCCTGTTAAGTGGCCATACCCAACTACCTATCATTATTAGAAATCGGCGCTGTAAATAAAATACTTTTTCTCAAATTCCCATGAGACCCAAATAAGAAAGTATTATATACATACCTCATCCAGAGTCTCTTCAGACTTGGTTTCTTTGGGTTTATCTTCATTAAGTTTCACATTTTTCACCTGCTCGGACACTTTACTTATACTTTCAGTACCCTTGAAACGCTGTAAGGAAAATATTCTGTTTTTCATATTCAGGACTGGCTAAAAGCTAGGAGAGACCTCTAGATATTTAGCTTTTCAAATAAACATCTGCCTGCACCATGAATAGAAACTTGTAAAAAGAAAGAATCTTATGTTAAGCATTTTAATCACCAAATTATGATCCTCAAACCATCTCATAATATGAATTCCGAAACAACCATGACTTAGAGATATGAATACGATTCAAATAACTCTTTAATATTTTCCATGGAAGATGGTCATTTCATAGTGAACACACATTGGGGAATTTCTTAAAATTTGTTTTTCTAAAGGCTAAGCATAAGTGTAACAGACATTCAGTTTATTAATGAAATGGAACTGCCCTGACCCATGTGGCTCCCTTGGTTGGTCATCACCCCAAAGCAAAAGGTCACCAATTTGATTCCCAGTCAGGACAGCTGCCCAGGTTGTGGGCTCAGTCCCTGGATGGGGAGTGTATGAGAGGCAATCAATCTTTGTTTCCAGCATCGATGTTTCTCTGCCTCTCTTTGTTCCTCCCTTTCCCTCTCTTTAAAAATAAATAAATAAGAAATGGAACTTCGGATTTATAATTTTCGGTACCTTTAAGGATTGGTTGTCTTAAACTACTGGGGAATTATTTTAAAAATCTGGTCCTTTTCAAAATATAAAAACATCCTGCTCAATTGCAGATGAGCCTCACTAGATTTGACAGCCTCTCCATTTATGGTTACAGTTAAAAATTGCAGGTGTAAAAACTTGCAACATATTCTACAAATAAATGCATTCAGACTTATTTTGGGGAATATCCAAAATATGATACTCTGGCAATAAAATATAACAATACTCACCTTACTTTCAAAAAGGTGGTTATAGGCTGTAACCAAATGGTCCTTGTTAGCTGTCTTGGCCACATTTTTAATATTTCCTAATAACTTATGTTCTGCAAGAAACTACCAAGAAAAAAGCTGGTTAGTCAAAATAATTTCCCTCATACAAGGGTCTAAAATTACAAAATGATCCTTTATGTTAGTAATTGTTTTCAATACTATTAATGATAGAAAAAATGAAATACTGTATTTTATATCCTACATCATAACAACAACAACAAAAGGTTTATGGAGATTGAAAAACCCCATTGGGTACGTACAAGACTGGAACTGTAAGTATTTTGTATGGGTCACACTGGTGTATACTAATTGTTTTTCCATCATAGAACTCACAGAAAAGCACATTTATACAGCAAGCACACTTTGGTAACTGGGTGAAGCTGCTCCTGGCATAATGGGAGCCTCCAGCAATATTGGGCACAGCTATCTTGAAATTTGTAACCCATTCTTGGTAGACTGAGAAGCACCATTACACAATGCTGGATATACTGTGGCTAAGTTTATGGGCTGTGGAGTTAGAACATCTGGGTTAAAATCCTAGCTGATTTCAGACAAGGGGCTAAGGTTTCCTAGAGTCCATTTCTGTAACATAGTGGAAGATTAACAGCAGCATGTATTTATCAGCAGGTTGTTGTAAGGATAATCCACAATAAAATCACCTTTCTCTCAAACATAAGACTAAGTTGGCAGATGTAAATCAAAATACTATTGAAATATCAAGCCATCAAAATTCCTTAATTTCAAGTCAAAATCATGTAATGGGGATTTTAATAATTTTGTTTATTTTGCTTCCTTTTTTGCCTGTGGTCCTTGATTCCCATTTTCTTTCTTTCTCAGTTGTTACTCTGACTCTTAGCCTTTTGATCAGTTAGAAATTTTAACACTATTTTTTCTCTGCTTTTTCTCTACCACCTCTAAATGATAATGGCTGATGTGGAAAGGCCATTTTGGTTAAAAAGAAGTAATCAGTTACTTTAGCACCCTTGTGATTTCTTTAGCAAAATTCCAGATAAACACCCAAAATATAAACATCTCCTTGACACCTTATTAGCAATAAACTGGTGATTGCCAAATATATTAGGTTTAAGTATGTGAATAAACACTGGAGAATAGACACTTTAAAATATTATAAAAGTACTCTGAGCCCTGGATAGCGTGGCTCAGTGGGTTGAGTGCTGGCCTGCAAACCAAAGGGTCACTGGTTCAATTCCCAGCCAGGGCACATGCCTTGGTTGTGGGCCAGGTCCCCAGCTGGAGGCGAGCGAGAAGCAACCAATCTCTTCTTCTCACTCGTGGATGTTTCCCACTTTCTCCCTTCCTTTCTCTCTCTCTAAAAATAAATAAAGTATTGGAAAAAAAATAAAGGTGACTTTAAAAAAAAGTATTTTGATATTCCAAGTCTCTTGATATTGGCTAGTTTTACATTCCACATTGGGATGATTTGTTTTTATAAGAATTTGATCAGGTACAGTATCGACATGTTAATAAATAATATGCCTACTCTATTCTAGTGTTTAACTGAAGTATGAATTGGCTTAAAATAATTCCACTAAAATGGTAAGATGGTATAAAATGGTATCCCTGTAGCAAGGTCTTTCCCTTTTCATCCTTGTGTTCCCAGACACTGAGCATAGTTCTTGCTATAAATATATAAATATTTGCTGATGTCAAGATGCTTATCCAGGAGCACGGAGATGGGAGTTGGAGAATAATTTTATCTCCCCTTCAAGACCTCTCAAAGTGAAAAACTACAATCTTCTTAAAGGAATCCACAAACAATATTTCTAAATGCTAGTTTAGAACCTAAATTAAAAAACTAGAGAACAGGATACAGACTGCTCCTTCTATTTCTGATAGTGGGCTATGCCTCGGGCATAACAAATTGTACAGTCGTCCAACAATTTAAGAGGTACGAACGGTCTTAATTTCCGAAGGAAAAAAAATCTGACGAAAATAACTTGTGACAACAGATGATAGTTATGATGGAGACTGCTGAAAAATACAGGGCGTACACTATAAAGAACGCCAAATAGATTTCTTAGTTCGTAACAATGGGAGACAGCTGTACATAAATTGTTCATTAACTCCCCAGTATAAGAGTGAAAAGGTCATTTAAAGGGTCCATGTTTTTAAAAAGCTAAATCGAAATCTACAAATTTAAACAAATCATACGCAATAGTGTTCAGTATTAATAACTGATGAGAAATTCAAGGCGCACCCATCGTTCCCACAGAAATCCTATCCTTTCCCATTTCCCTAACAGCCCGCACTCCTTGTTGTGCTCTCATCCAAGCCCCCAGGCACTCATCCTCCCACCCCCTCCAACGTCCCCACGCTTCGCCTCAGCTGCCAGTATCTCCAGGGTTCCTTTTTTTTTCCATGGCCTCCATCCTCACTTAAGGATCCCAATGTGGTTTTAACTCTGCGATTGCTGCCTGCGAGCCCCAAACGGTAACGCTGCTCCACCCGACCAAAGAGGGCCGGCTGGAGGGGCGGGAGCGTGGCTCCCAGCGCACGCGAGGCCTCTCCGGCCTTCCAGGCCACCAGCCGCAGGACAACGAGGGCGGGGGGTCGGAGGAATACAGAATGTACGGACAGCTACGGGGGGACGAGACGTCCCTCGGCCGCACCAGCCCGGCCGCCCCGCCGCCTCTGGTACCGAATCTGAACCGTGGTCCTGTAGAAACTTGATAATGTCCTTCTTGGGAAGCTGCTCGCTGCGCAGCTGCTCCACGGTCCAGGCCCGCTGTGGAACGGCTGCCGCCATCTTCCCCCGCCGCCTCTGCTTTACTGAGCCGGCCCGCCTGGGTTTGGCATCGCCCCGCCCACGGGGCGTGGGTGGCCCCCCATCGCTAAAATGGAGGGGGCAGGGTCATTGCACCGCCCCTCGGGATTGGGGCCGGTCCTTTGAGTGACGTGGAGGCTGTGCCTTGAAGGCTTCTTTGTTAAATCCGGGTAAAAACCCAACCGATGTGGCCTTTAAGATTGCAAGCTGCCATCAACTCTTAATTGGAGTCTCTGTGATGGTAGTTATATTTACCACGGGTTACCCACACTTGTTTTGTACCGACGGCTGTTATGCCTTTAAAGGCTATATCCTGTTATAAACAGAGTTGAGTCATCTAATCTCAGTTTTTCTAGTTCTAGCCTAATGTTCTCACCTAAATTGACTCAGTCCTTGTCCATCGGCACAACCCATATCCGACCATCTCCCTTTAGAGACTAACACAAATGAAACTAAAATAAATCTGTCCCTTTCCCCCTAAAAAAAACCACACACAAACACAAGAGAAACAGTTTGTCAAAGCAAATTTAGAACTTTACCAAATGAAACAACTTGGTGATGAAGGTGACATTATTAACATTCAAAACACCTCATAATATGTCTGTACTTTTGCTCAAAATACAAGCAATCAGATTTACAGAAGTCTCTAGATTTGGAGTGAAGACTGAGGTAGAAAGCTATTGCTAGAGCACTCTCCCTCTGGGGAGCTGCCCTTGCGTTTTCTGTCCTCTTCTTTTCACCCAGGGGCATTACTTTTACCTTTCTGTCTCCTAAGCTCCAAGGGACCCTTCTTTTGCCTCTCTACTTTTTTCCAGAGCCCATTTCTTCTATAGATCACTTCTACCTCTGGGACTTTCTAAATAACTTTCCTTTTGTAGTTTGAGTCTTGGCTCTGAATTCGTTCTTAGCCAGAACTCAAGTATGAGGTTGCTGAAGAGTCTGTCTCACTCTGTTACCAGATAGGGGGCCTGGGCCTGAATGGGTCTGCTTAGGACCAGCTAGTAGTATGTGGCTTCTCACCTTCATGTAGGAAAGATTTCAAACATGCGTCCAGGTGACTATGAGGGTAGTCTTATTGAAACTGGGGTCAGTGAGACGATGAAGGGCCGAGTGCAGAAAAAGCAACAGGACAGAACTAGGCTGGGTTTCCTTAACTCACTGGAAAATCACAGAAAAGTGGGCCTTAAGGAGAGGTTCAGGGGGTTAGCTGGGGACAAACTGCTGCTGCCCATTTCTCCCCTGGTTGCAAGTCTTGTGGGGTCCTTTAGAGTTTAGGAAATGGGAACCTGTGGAGAATGAAGAGAGGGAAAACGAGGGAAAAGGGATTGGCTTGCTGCTCCTTGAGACAGAGAGAGAGCTCGCAAGGCCATTTGTCTTGAGGCCTTTGTCTCTCTTTCGCAGGCGGGAATCTCAGGGGCAGTCTCGAGGAGGATTTCCACAGAATATTAATCAGTTTTCCAGGTGTGCTCTTTCAGGATCCTGGTCACCATTGATTGCTTGGCGCCAGGGCAGGGGGGTCATTAGTCATTGTAGCTGGTCCTGATATTGTCCACTTGGTTTTGCTGTTTTTCTGGGCCTGGAGCTTAAATACAACTGAGTCCTAGATGTTACCTCTAGGGAGGTGACCTTCTGTATCTCGCTATAAATTGCTTGGCCATTTTGTTATCTGTCTCAGTTTCCCTATTCCACTTGCCAAGGAACGCCTAGCCTCTTACTATCCTGACTCAATTCTATCTGTCTAACATGCTGGTGCTGTTTTTACAGCCTCCAGTAAAGGAAGCATGTAATCTAGTTAACCTGTACCTTGCTTTCTCCCATCTTCATGTAATCTTTCTTATGTTCCTTCCTTGACTCCAAATATGTAAAAAGAAACCACAAAATTGTCATTTTCTGCAGCATTTGAGATCTTTCTGGCATGTCATCAGTTTGGCTCATATAAACTCTCATTTTTAAAAAAATGGAAGAAAAAAAGGTATTGCTAGAGTAGACATACCACACCAATGTAAAGGAGCATCAGAAAGCCTTTTTTCTTTAGAATTTTCCTATGAATATCAGGGCCATACCATTTACTTCCCTTTTAACAATGAAAATATTAAGATAATGGGTTGCCCTCCTAATAAAGCAAAAAAGAGAACTGACATTTTCTCAGCCTGGACAGAGAAATAAGATATTTAATTCCATCTAAACAATCTCGCGTTTCATTTCATCTTCCTAATTAAAAAACACAACCAACAAGTAATAAAGCACGTTGGACGATCAATAACGTTCAGTTCACAAAAATATGGGTATCCACTGTCCTGGGGATCTCAAGGTTACTTATTTTTATTATTTTAAGCGTTATGACTTTAGCAATGACGTCCGGACATGCAGTCATTGGAAAAGGAACTCAAATTCAGAGTCTGTAAAAGTCTGAAAAGGGGACCAAATTTAGACTAACTCCAAAACAATGCGCATTCCTCTTCCGGAGGGCTGCTGAGGGTTTCCGGGAATTCAGCCAATCATATTCCTAACGCAAACCCAGTGGCGGCATTTTCAAGTGGCTAAACTGGCCTCAGTCCCGCCCTCTGGTTCCACTGTTCTGTGAGGAGGTAACAGATGGAGATCGAATCGGTGGCAGTTCAGCTGCAGCAGCTGCTGGCGTCTGAGAGAAGCCTTCGGTGGTCGTAGGCCTGATGAGCGGACGGCAAAGAACTCTTTTTCAGACATGGGGCGCAAGCCTCTCCCGATCTTCTGGGGCTCCCGGTTGCAGCTCTGGAACTGAGCGGCCTCAGAACCCTGGCAACTCTAGGGCGCGTTTTCCTGCCAACGCAGAGGCTGCCGGTGCGCAGCCGGAGCCTGACGATGATGTGTTGCTGGTCGCTGTGTATGAGGCAGAGAGGCAGCTGAGTCTAGAGAATGGCGGGTTCTGCACCTCAGCGGGCGCCCTGTGGATTTACCCTACTAATTGCCCAGTGCGGGATTACCAAGTGCACATCGCCCGGGCCGCTCTGTTCTGTAACACGCTGGTGTGTCTGCCCACCGGGTTGGGAAAGACCTTTATTGCCGCCGTGGTCATGTACAATTTCTACCGCTGGTTCCCGTCTGGCAAGGTAGTCTTCATGGCCCCCACGAAACCTTTGGTGACACAGCAGATTGAGGCTTGCTACCGAGTGATGGGTATCCCGCAGTCCCACATGGCCGAAATGACAGGTATTTTAGAAGAAATGGGCTAATATGAAATTAAGAGCTGGGTAAGACAAAGTACACGTTCTGATGGAAACTGAGCTAAAGAAATTCCTGACCCATGTGAAATAGTCCCTAGGTGAAATCTTCATCTTGCATCTTCTCCTCTAAAACATCATTAGGCATACGTCGTTTCGTTGCATTTAGATTTGTGTTTCACAGGTGTTGGCAGTTTTTACAAATTGGAGGCAAGAGCCTCCACCAGCTAAAAGATTACCACTCGCATTATTGCGGTTGTCTGGAACCGAACCTGCTATATATCAGAGGTACTCCTATACTTGCAGCAAGTCAAGCCCTAATAAATAGGATTGCTTTATTCAATCTTCAGAGAATCCCCGTAGCTTGTCAGAGCATTTTGAAGCTATTAAATGTGTATATATACCTCATCGGTTACCCAGTGTCACTTTTATTTGCAGGATCTACTCAGGCTTTCACCAGGAAGGAAATATGGTGCAGTAAGAGAGTCATTTTTCTTACACCTCAAGTCATGGTAAATGATCTTTCTAGAGGAGCTTGTCCTGCTGCTGAAATAAAGTGTCTAGTTATTGATGAAGCTCATAAAGCTCTTGGGAACTATGCTTATTGCCAGGTAATATTTTTGTTTTAAAAGTAATTTTTTAGTGTAAACATTGTTAAAGAATATTTTTGGGAACAGTTATTAATGATGGAAGTTATTGATGATGAAGTTATTATGAAAAGCCTTATCTATTATCTTAGAATAGGCTGTGATAGGAAAAACTTTTCTGCATTCAAATCTGTGTCTCTGCTGTTTTTTTCTTTTTTTTTTAAAATAATGGTTAACAAGGCCCTTAAGTGTCAGACCTACATGATGAAAATCTAGTCATTACTCAGATAGTGATTCATAGCAGGGTATGGGTGGAGTTTTGGAACTTAAAATAATCCCAAAATTGGTAATGGATATGCAATGTTATTCCTTGCCAGATGGGCAAAATAATACTTAACCATGAAGGCCGTTTTAAGGATTAAATCACATAATGTATGCGATACACCTAACACAGTGCCTTCCAGTTAAGTACTACAGGAATATAAAGGACAAAGATGAAGTGGTGTGCTGTGGGCTGGTGAGGTACTTAAGGACCAGGTCACGAAGGCATTTGTACTTTATGCTGAGCAATTTGAATGCTCTTTGTAGACCACAGGGGACCTAGGGGGTGCAGACTTGAAAAATGTTTAGCTGGAGAATACATAAGATTTAAAAGGGATTACAGGAGAAAAGGCTAAAAGGCAGAGTGTGAAATGAGGGATAGGAGGAATTTAGGATGACTCCCAGTTATGTGACTTGGAAGATTGTGAGGATTTTGGTGTTACTAGTCAAGATAAAGAGTTCTGGAAGTAAGAAGGTTTGGGGTATTATGGAAAGATAGGAAAGAGTGCAGTTTTAGATTGTTGAGTCTGAGGTGTCTATGAGATTCTAGCTGTAGATATGTACTGGACAGTAGGTAATGGAAATGTGGATCTACTGGAGAGTTCTGAGCTGGAGATAGCAGAATTGGAAATCATCAGCATAAAGGTGGTAGGTACTTAAAACTGTAATAGCTGGTGATAGGAGAGAGAGTATCAGACAAGGATAGAAGGGAACATTGATTTCATTTAGTGCAAAGGGATGAAATTCACTGTCAATTTGTGAATTTGTAAAGTAGTTTCTTTGGGGACCTTTTAAGTAGCATTGTATTATATCTCTGTATAATCTTCTGGAGAATGTCATCTTATAGTTCACCTTAGCCAGGAAATGGACATATTTTTCCATTCATTTGTATTTTTCCACATTAAATTAATACCTAACTGTGTTAATGGTTCTGTGGCAGGGGCATTTACAAATTTTTATTCTAACAATCAAATTCATTTTTGTAGATTTAGCTTATATTGAGCAACTTTAACTCATTTATTTTCTTTTCCTTATTTTAAAATATTTATTTTTAGAAAGAGAGGAAGGGAGGGAGAAAGGGAGAGAAACATCGATGTGCAAAGAAACATCAATTGGTTCCCCTTGCATGCCCCCCACGGGGAACCTCGCCCACAACCCAGGCATATGCCCTGACCAGGAATTGAACTGGTGACCCTTCAGCTCCCAGCCCACGCTCAGTCTGCTTAGCCACACCAGCCAAGGCATCTCATTTATTTTCAAGAAATTTCTAGGCATTAGATGATTTCTTGTTTAAATGAGACATACATTTACTTCATTAATACCAAACAGCCCTGAGAGTAATTATGCTATATTGAATATTCCAGAAATAGGTTCCAACAGCTCAATGAAGAGTGTAGCTTCTAGGGTTTCAAGCACAACACCATTTCCTCTTCTACAAAATGCTTGAGAATTCCTCCTGGAAAAAAGTCATGTATTAGGTACATTTTGTCTTACATCAGTTTTTAATTAGAACAATTCTTTTTAAGTCTCCATTAAGTATAATGTATCTTTATATGCATTCTGTATCATGTTAAAAAAAACTCCAGAATTAATAGTTTTTGAATATTAATCAAGATTTAGTGTGAGTCTCATTGAATTCATCCTTGACATGGGTTGAAATTAGAGCAGTTTTTAGGTAATGTAATTTTATTGTTTCTATAGCTAATGGGAAACTGGGGGGTACTAAGAGGTATTCCTGCAACTCAGTTTACTTAGCAGTCCTTTTTTCTTGTACTGGGGACTTGTGCGAAGGGGCGTATGGGAATCTGCCAAATTATTCAGGATTAATCACACTGGAAGTGGTGTTAAACTTAAACTGGAGAGCTTAGAATAATGCTTTGGTGCCACTGAGAAAATGTTTTAAGATTTAAAAGAAAAGTTAGATTTTTAAAATTACCCCAAATTAGCCTTATTCATTTATAAATAAACTTAATTGAAAAATGATGAGCCTTCCATATACAATCTAACTTCTTAAAATCCTAAATGAGTTTTTTTACTTGAAATCTACTTTTATATTGGTATTTAATTTTTTTCCTATTTCTATGTCATGATTAATCTGAATCTGGTAAGTGTACATATATATGGATATAGTTGTAAGGCTAGATTGTGGTCTAAGCAATGGAGAGTGGACTCTCTTCCATTTGCCACTGTATTAGGCTTTATATATAGAAGAAACCCTGAAGTGTTTTTTTTTTTCTTTTTTTATTGGTGCTGACTACAAACCTAAATCATTTGCTGTTTGGATATAACTAATGATAGTTCCATGCACTAGACCATCAGTACTCTAAATAAAGGAATAGTGATAAAGTGCCATATATAATGGTTTATTTAACAGAATCTTTGTTTTTGAACTGGATGGATGAAATTAAAGAACTTTTTTTTTTTTTTAAAAGGTTGTAAGAGAACTGGTCAAATATACAACTCACTTTAGAATATTGGCTCTTAGTGCCACACCAGGTAGTGATATAAAGGTAAGTAAAATGTTTTTCCATTTATTAACAGTTACAAAAATAAACACTTTTATAAGTGGCCAGACCAGTTTTCCATTCTAGTATTTAGTTTGAATTTAGGACTATAGTTTAGGACTAAAACATTTTCTATAACATGCCTGCCTTTTCTTCTCCTTGCAGGAGTTTTTCTGCATTAGTAGTTTTCAGACTTCAGTGAGCATAAAAGTCATCTAAAGCTGTTTGTTAAATTGTTACTATTTTGAGTTTTTTAAAAAGTTTTATTTTGAAATAACTTTAGACTTTCAGAATATTTGTAAAAATTGAAGTCTTTGTGTATCCTTTGCTTAACTTTCCCTAATGTTAACATATCATATAACCGTGGTAAAATTATCAAAACCAGGAGATTAACATTGGTGCAATACTAATAACTAATCTGCAAACCTTAGATGAATTTTGCCAGTCTTCCCGCCGGTGTCCTTTCCTGTTCCTGGTTCCAGGTCAGGGTCCCACATTGCATTTAGTTGTCATACCTCCTTTGGCCCTTCCATCTGAGACAGTTTCTTGGTCTTTTTTTGTGTTCCATGACCTTTTCTTGTTTCTCATGATGGTTTTACAAAGTGGGTACCAGTTATTTTGTAGAATATCCCTCAATTTAGGTTTGGCTGATATTTTCTCATGATTAGAGTGAGGTTATGCATTTTGGCCAGATACCCCAGAAGAGATATCGTTCTAAGCACATTTTATCAGAGAATACATGATGTTGATATGCCTTATTGCTGGTGCTATTAATTATGATTTTGTGAAGATGCGAATTTCTCCATCGTAAAATTATAATCATTCCTTGGTATCCTCAAGGGATTGGTTCCAGAATCCCATGGATACTAAATCCAAAGATGTGCGTGCCTTACATAAAATGTCATAGTACTTGCTTATAACCTATGTACATCCTCATATATACTTTACATCATCTCTGGATTAATTATAATATATAGTACAATGTAAATGCTATGGAATTAGCTGTTTTAATGTATAGTTTAGGGAATAATGACACGAAGAAAAAATCTGTACCTGTTCAGCACAAGTGCAATCATCTTAGGCCTAACTACACACTACATTTTAGCAACAAGGTAGCTTTTAAAAAAATTATATTTTATTGATTATGCTATTACAACTGTCCCAATTTTTCCCCCTCTGCCACCTCCACCCAGCACCCCCTACTCCTTCAGGCAATCCCCACACCATTGTTCATGTCTGTGGGTCACACGTATAAATTCTTTGGCTACTCCATTTCCTATACTGTACCATACATGCCCGTGGCTATTCTTAAACTTCCTATTTGTACCTCTTAAACCCTTCACTTCTCTACCCTTTGTCCCACACCACCCTGCCCCCATAATCTGGCAACCACCAAAACCCTCTCTGTATCCATGACTCTCTCTGTTCTTTCTTGTTTGCTTAGTTTGCTTTTTAGATTTAATTGTTGATATGTATTTATTGCCATTTTATTGTTCATAGTTTTGATATTCAAGATTTTCTATCTTTAACGTTTTAAAAAAATTTTTTTTATTGTTCAAATACATTTGTCTCCATATTCATACCACCACTTTCCCCTGCCCCACCCACCTCCACCTTCCCCCTTCACTCCTTCCTCATTTTGGCTTTGTCCATGGGTCCCTTATACATGTTTCTTGATTTGACCTTTCCCCTTCTTTTCCCTGTTACCACCCTCCCCCCTTCCCTCTTGTTACTGTTGCTTTCTTTTTTTCTTTCAATGTTGCTGGTTATATTTTCCTTGCTTTTTTGTTTTGTTGGTTACGTTCCACTTACAGGTGAGACCCTATGGTATTTGTCTTTCACCACCTGGCTTATTTCACTTAGCATAAAGCTCTCCAGTTCCATCCTTGCTGTGGCGAAGGGTAGTGGCTCTTTCTTTCTGCTGCGTAGTATTCCACTGTGTACATGTACCATAGTTTTTTGATCTACTCATTTATTGATGGACACTTAGGTTGCTTCCAGCACTTGGCTATTGTAAACTGTGCTGCTATGAACATTCAGGTGCATAGGTTCTTTTGAATTGGTGTTTTGGGATTCTTAGGGTATAATCCTAGCAGTGGAATCACTGGGTCAAAAGGCAGTTCAATTTCCAGCTTTTTGAGGAAGTTCTAAACTGTTTTCCGCAGTGGCTGCACCAGTCTGCATTCCCACTAACAGTGTACTAGGGTTCCCTTTTCTTCACAGCCTCGCCAGCACTTGTTGTTTGTTGATTTGTTTATGCTGACCATTCTAACCAGTGTAAAGTGGTATCTCATTGTGGTTTTAATTTGCATTTTTCTGATGGCTAGTGATGCTGAGCATCCATTCATATGCCTCTGGGCCCTGTGTACATCCTCCTTGGAGCAGTGTCTGTTCAGGTCTTCTGCCCATTTTTTAATTGAATTGTTTGTCTTCCTGGAGTGGAGTCATGTGAGTCCTATATATATTTTGGAGATCAAATCCCTGTCTGAGGTATTAGTGACAAATATATTTTTCCATACGGTTGGTTCCCTTTTTGTTTTTCTGTTGTTTTCTTTAGCCATGCAGAGGCTTCTTATTTTTGATGAAATCCCATTTGTTTATTCTTTCCTTTATGCCCCTTGCTCTAGGGGACATGTTGGTGAAAATATTGCTGTGTGGGATATCTGAGAGTTTCCTGTCTATGTTCTCCTCTAGGATTTCAATGGTGTCATGACCTATATTTAAGTCTTTAACCCATCTTGAGTTTATTTTTGTGTATGGTGTAACTTGGTCGCATTTCAGTTTTTTGCATGTAAATGTCTAGCTCTCCCAACACCATTTGTTGAAGAGGCTATTTTATTCCATTTTATGCTTCTGCCCCCTTTGTTGAATATTAATTGACCATAGAGACATGGGTTTATTTCTGGGCTTTCTATTCTGTTCCACTTGTCTATGTGTCGGTTCTTATGCCAGTGCCAGACTGTTTTGATTACAGTGGCCTTGTAATGTAGTTTGATGTCAGGTATTGTTATCCCTCTTACATTGTTCTACTTTCTCAAGATGGCTGCAGTTATTCGGCGTCATTTATGGTTCCATATAAATTTTTGAAAATTTGTTTTATATCTGTGAAATACATCATTGGCATTTTAATAGGGATTGTGTTGAATCTATAAATTGCTTTGGGTAGTATGGACATTTTGATGATGTTAATTCTTCCAATCCATGAACATGGTATATGCTTCCGTTTATTTGTGTCTCCCTTAATTTCTTTCTTCAGTGTTGTATAGCTTTCTGCTTATAGGTCTTTTACTTCCTTGGTTAAGTTTATTCCTAGGTACTTTATTTTTCTTGTTGCTACAGCAAATGTTTTCTTTTTCTTGATTCTGATATTTCATTGCTGGTGTACAAAAATGCCTTCAATTTCTGAATATTGACTTTGTATCCCACCGTTTTGCCAAATTCACTTATTAGGTCAAGGAGTTTTTGGGTGGAATCTATGGGGTATTCTATGTACATGATAATGTCATCTGTAAACAATGACAGCTTTACTTCCTCCTTTTCAATTTAGATGCCTTTTATTTCCTTTTCTTGTCTGATTACTGTGGTTAGGACTTCCAATACTATGTTGAATAGAAGTGGTGAAAGCAGAAAACCTTGTCTTTTTCCCGATCTTAGTGGGAAAGATTTTGGTTTTTGCCCATTGAGCATGATGTTGGCTATAGGTTTCTCATATATGGCCTTTATTAGGATGAGGTTTCCCCCCTTTATTCCCACATTGCTGAGTGTTTTTATCATAAATGGGTGCTGTACCTTATCAAATGCTTTTTCTGCATCTGTTGATATGATCATTGGATGTTTGTCTTTCCTTTTGTTTATGTGATATATTATGTTTATTGATTTGCAAATATTGAACCATCCTTGCATCCCTGGGATGAATCCCACTTGATCATGGTGAATATCTATTTAATGTATTGCTGGATGCAATTTGCCAATATTTTGTTGAGTATTTTAGTGTCTATGTTCATCAGCGATATTGGCCTGTAGTTTTATTTCTTTGTTGTGTCTTTATCTGCTTTTGGTTTTAGTATGATGCTGGCCTCATAAAAAGAGTTTAGGAGACTTCCCTCTTCTTGGATTTTTAGAATAATCTGAGAATGACAGGAGTTAGGTCTTCCTTAAATATTTTATCAAATTCTCCTTTGAAACCATCTGGCCCAGGGTTTTTGTGTGGTGGGAGTTTTTTATTACTGCTTCAATTTTACCAGCTGTTGTCAGCCTGTTCAGGCTTTCTGCTTCTTCTTTATTCAGTGTTGGAAGGTTATATTTTTTTTTAAATTTGTGCATTTCCTCAAGGTTTAGAAATTTATTGGTGTATAATTGTTCATAGCAATTTCTTACAACCCTTTGTATTTCTTTGGTATCATTTGTTATTTCTCCTCTTTCATTTCTGATATTATTTATTTGAGTCCTCTCCCTTTTTTTTTAAATGAGTCTGCTTACAGGCTTGTCGATTTTCTTAATCTTTTCAAGGAACCAGCTCCTGGATTTGTTGATCATTTGAATTGTTCTTTTAGTCTCTATGTCATTCAGTTCTGCTCTGATCTTGATTATTTCCTTCCTCCTGCTCACTCTGGGCTTTGTTGTTTCTCCAGTTCTTGAAGCTGTAGGGTTAGGTCATTTATTTGAAATGTTTCTATCTTTTTGAGTTAGGCCTGTATTGCTATGAACTTCCCTCTCAGGACTGCCTTTGCTGTGTCCCATAGGGTTTGGACTGTTGTGTGTTCATTTTCATTTGTTTCCAGAGACTTTTTGATTTTTACTTTGATCTCATTATTGACCCATTAATTGTGTAATAGCATGCTATTCAGTCTCCATGAGTTGAATATTTTTGAGTTTTTTCCTTGAGGTTGGTTTCTAGTTTCAAGCTCTTGTGATCTGAGAATATGCTTGTTATGATTTCAGTTTTATTGAACTTTTTGAGCCTTGTCTTGTGTCCTATCATGTGGTCTATCTTTGAAAATGTTCCA